GCCATGATGTTGACAATCATGTATCCTCACTGTTCTCACTTTTTAAGTAATTTTTTAAATTTATTTTTGAGAGAGAGAGAGAGACAACATAAGCAGGGAAGGGTCAGAGAGAGAGAGGGAGATACAGAATCTGAAGCAGGCTCCAGGCTCTGAGCTAACTGTCAGCACAGAGCCCGACGCAGGGCTCAACCCACAACCATGAGATCATGACCTGAGCTGAAGTCAAACGCCTAACCGACTGAGCCACCCAGGTGCCCCTGTTCTCACTTTCTTAATGAATGTTTCACACACACTCAATGGTTCATGTGCTGGAATTACTAACTTGATATTTTTGGATCACTAAAAATATGAAAATGAGTGTGTAACAAATGATTCATGTTGGGGTGCCTGGGAGGCTCAGTCAATCAAGCATCCAACTCTTGGTTTCAGCTCAAGTCATCATCTCACGGTTTTGTGAGTTCCAGCCCTGCATCGGGCTCTGCATTGCTGGTGTGGAGGCTGCTTGGGATTCTCTCCCTGTCTCTCTCTTTCTCTCAAAATAAATTTTAAAAAATTAAAAACAAAACAAATGATTCATGTTAACATCAAATAACTTATGCATTTCAAGAAAAAACAGAAGTCTGTTCACATTACATTACACACCTAGATTCAGGAAACCAATGCTCTAAAAATGTCCCTTGGTGTCAACAAATGACACACAGTACTCGGGTTAATCCACTTACCTGGAGTTGTGCATTAACCGGTAATTTGGCCCCTGTGCATTTTATAGGGTTCTCTGTTTCGAAGAGAAGTATATTGCAAATGTTTTGTTGTAAATAAACAAAACACACTCTTTTATCCTTGAAATAAATGAATGAATGGATGAATTAAGTCAATCTAGATTGTTTCATTGTGTAGATGAGGAAATGCGGCCTTGTCCTTGCCCACATCTACTCTCCTTCTTCCCTTCCCAGTTAGAACATCAGAATTATCTCACGTTTGTTTTTTCAGACTCCTCCTTTTTGTCTTCTCATTTAATTTTCATGACACCACCCCCCCCATGTAGATTATGGAGGATAATGTTATTGCAATTATAAAGACAAGGAAAATGAAACACAGAAAGATTAACTGACTTACCTAAAGCCACAGAGAAAATGATTTTTGGTCCTGGAGCTGAGATTTTTCTCCTTCTCTATCCAGTAATTTCATATGATATTATTCAGTCACATCACTTGGGTCCTTATAAATCACACACAAGTTTAATACAAACACTTGTGACCAGCCTCTGCACACTGCATGCATATAAAGAATAACAAGGTTGGAGAAAATAGTTCAGGAATCCTCTTCTTTTATGGTTCCATCATTTCCCTCACACACTATCTGTGCCAGTGCTCCTCAGAGGCAGTTGTATTTCGAGCAGTGTGACCTAACCTTTCTGAGCTTCAGATCCATCATCTGTAAAATGGAAATTCAGTGCTGGAAGATCAACTTTGTTTCAGTGTAGATTACCTTTTTTTTTTTTTCTAATCAGCCTCTGTTAACCTTATCAGGTAATAAGAACTAGGTTTATTCTTTTAAAGTCAGGCAGTGAGCATACAAAATTGATTCTGAATATAAATTTCTTTGTTGTAGCAATGCCACAAAAAGGTGGACACTTCCTTTTTCTAGGTTTTTAGATGCAAATACATTTGGGAAAACAGGTACTTCCCCCCCCCCCCCTAGGTTTTAGATACAAATACAGTTGGGAAAATGGACATTCATTGAATAGCAAAAACTTATAACTCAACTAAAACATCTGGACCTCTCTTTTTAATTTATAAGGAGAAAAATTAGATGGAAAGAGATATAAGGCAATATGATTATCTTAAATTGATTAAACTAGCTAGTGGGGGATCCTGATACAGATACACAATGTTAGTCTATAACAACACAATGTTGGTCTACATTTCCAGTGGGCGAGTCATAAACACATTTTTTTTCTGGGAGCATACTCAAACTAATTTTAAAAAGAGGCACGCAACACCATATGGAATGCCTATAACTGTGTTCTCCCAAAAGTGAATTTAAAGTGAATTATTATAAATCTAAAACTGTATCTGCTAACTTCTAAAATATTTTTAACATGCTCCAGGGTAGGTTAAAAAATAAGTTGCAAACAGGTTTTCACTTTTTCTATCTGCTTCTTATTTTCTTTGAATGTTCTACATACTCCTTATGTAATCAGGAAAAGAGTAGTTAAATAAATGAATCACTTCAGGCATGGAGAAGTTCTTGAAATAACATAGTTAAAAGAAAATTAATACTCTCTATTGCATGACTAATAGTTATATAGTTATAACGTAAGCATGTCACATGCACAATTACCTGTCTAAAATTTAAATTTTTGAAAGAGAAATTTGACATCCTTGAGGCTATCGTTCATCATACAAAAGACTTTTTCTGCTCTTTTCATGATTGAAACATTTCCCTTCAAAATGTAAAGCTTTAGCTGCCTCTCCTGGAGGAGTTTATTTGGTATAAAGGCTTTACATGTTCCCTCAGGAAATTGTAGGAAATTGTTTATGGTAAGAATTGTAAAATTGTGTAGCGTTTAGAAGAAAGAGTAGCACAATTTGTCGTTTCGCTAAGGGCCATGTCCTGCAGGAGGACGCGTTCGTACCTACAGACGTGACTATGAAACATGTGCGTGAGCAACTGCGTGGACGGTGTGCTGTCTGGGCAGGTAGCAGGGGTGCCCAGGGAACAGTTTTCGGCTAGCAGAGAGGACACCTGAGCTCTATTTCCTGTACAGTCTCTCGCAAAATTGGGAATAATATTTACTCGCATGTTGACATCGATTGAGTTCCTACCCGGCACACGGTACAATCTAGGTACTTTCTAACCTTCCTCATTCCTAACTAATCCGATCGTGATACCCTCGTCTGATTCTGACACCAATGCATACGATTGGGGAATGATGAGTATTTCACAGATGGGAAAACTCGAGCACTGAGAAATTAAAGATGGAGCCCGAGGTCACGTGACCAGTAGGCTTGGAACCTACATTTGGGCCCAAGCTGGTCTCAAGCACCAGTGTGCCCTCCCGAAGGACACCCGCCCCCACCTGTTCGCAGACACTTAACAGATATGTCGCCACCATCTGTATAGGAATTACACCAAAATGGCAAACGGAGTTAAGTGACTATCTGTAAACTGCTTTAAAAATATAAGTATCATATCTCACCCAGTGCTCATCCCAACAAGTGCCCTCCACAGTGCCCATCACCCATTTCCCCTCTCCCTTCACCCCTTTCCACCTTCAGTTTGTTCTCTGTATTTAAGAGTTTCTTGTGGTTTGCCTCCCTCCCTCTCTGTTTATAGCTATTTTTCCCCTCCCCCATGGCCTTCTGTTAAGTTTCTCAAGAACCACCTGTGAGTGAAACATATGATGTCCATCCTTCTCTGACTGGCTTCTTTCATTCAGCATAATACCTTCCAGTTCCATCCACGTTGCTGCAAATGGCACGATTTCAATCCTTCTCATTACCAAGCAGTATTCCATTGTATAGATAAGCCAATTTGACAATAAATTATATTTATAAAATAAATAAATAAAACAAAAAATAAAAAAATAAAATATAGGTATCATAGCCACAAAGAACGTTATTTCAATTCAGAGAATAACAGATACGTGCGTGGTTCTTCCACCCCTGAGGAACACTGGAATTTATTAGCACAGAAATAATCCTCATTAGCATCATCATTTCACATTATTATCTAAAACTAATCTCACACTAGTGTCTGGAGTTAAGCTGGTTGCTAGTGTTTGCCATTTTTTGTTGCATTTGTACAAATAATTGAAACTATACTGAACTGCATTTTTATTTATCTTATTTTATTTTTTGAATGTTTATATCCTTATTTTGAGACAGAGAGACAGAGAGAGAGAGAGCATGTGCAGTGAGGGAGGGGGTAGAAAGAGAAAGAGACTCCCAAACAGGCTTCACACTCAGCACAGAACCCAGTGTGGGGCTCAATCTCATGAACCATGAGATCAAGACATGAGCCAAAATTCAGAGTCAGACACTTAACTGACTGAGCCACCCAGGTGCCCCTGAACTGTATTTGTAAATGAAGATATGATAGGCACAATTCTGAAGGTGTCCTCCCCCTCCAAGATTCCCGTGCCTTAGTTATTCAATCACACACTAATTTAGGTACTGCTATAAAGGGATTTTGCAGATGCAATTAATGTTACTAATCAGCTAGATTAAAACAGGGAGATTATCCCAGGTTATCTGCATGGGCCCCATGTTATCACAGGAATCCTTAAAAACAGAAGCGGATGGCAAAGGAGCTTCCAGATGTGAGGGGTTTTGAAGGGCCATTGCTGGCGTGAGACGGAGGGCCCATGTCCCAGGACTGAAGAGAGACCTCTGAGCAGTAGGTGCAGCCCCAGTGCACAGCCAGCAAGGAAACAGGGACCTCAGGCCAATGACCTGAATGAGCTTAGAGCAGGTTCTTCCTCACGTCTTCAATAAAGAACACGTCTCTGCAGCCATCTGGATTTTAGCCCATCACGACCCACGTTGGCCTTCCACAGAGCAGTGAGCCACTGAATGGGTGTTGTTTGAGGTCCCTATGTTTGCGGTCACTTGTTTTGGTGGCAGCAGCAAAACTAAAGTAGAAGGGAAAGTACTGCAGTTCAAATAGTGTGTCTGCTGTTACAAGCACTGAAAACCAAAATGCAGCTATAAGAGGAACTCAAATTCAACAGCAGTGGGAGCAGTTAGAGCACTTGGAGCAGGAAGCTGGAGACAGAAAAGCAAGGCAGGGACCAGGAGTTAGTAGTTGCCCTCGAGAGGTTTGTCGTATTTTTGTTTTTAAGACGTGCAAGGTTTGAACGTGCTGAAAGGAAGTCTGTAGAAAGGGAGAGGGAGGGGTGATGTGGGGAAGGTGATAAGCTCTGCCGGCTGCAGGGCTGCAGCGAGCAGGTGGAGAGACGGGGACAGGAGAGACAGACACACCTTCCTCTGAAAGGGATGGGGAGATCAAAGGATGTCGAGACATGCTGGGGAAGCTTCACCTGGGGCTTGCACTGTCATCTGAACTGCGACGTGAGGGCAGCTGTTGAGCGTCACAAGGAGGTGGGCATGTGTGTAGGACACGACTGCAGCAGGCTTGACACTGGTGCTGTGCACCACGGACCAGCTAGGGGAGCGCAGGGTGATGGCCGCCAAAGCCCCAGGAGAGTGGAACTCCTGAATGATTGGTGGCCCCGCCAGTGGGCTGGGAGGTTTTCTCTGGGGCCGACCAGCCCCCGTGGTGTGGGTGCAAGGCAAACAGGGGTCATATTACCCAGCAGTGGGGGTTCAATTCCCCCTTCCTTCCTTCCTTCCTTCCCTCCCTCCCCCTTCTCTGATGTCTATGCCTTAGGCATATATATCAGGTGCAGCAGAAACCAGAAACCGTATTTCAGAGTTATACCAAAAACCAAAACCAGAGAAATATTCTGTGTCATTAGTTTATGAGAATTATCTTCCACTTATTTATAAGACAATTGAAGAACAGCTATCTATTTTGTCAAATTCCTGGGAATGACATAATTTGACAGTTTACTCACAAATAAAGACTACTCTTCCTCCTCAGGATTCTTTCCTAGGAATTTATTTTCATGCCTAGTGAGTAGGATTTGGAACAGTTAAGTAAACTGCACTGTCTCTTAAATGCCCAAGTTTCCCTTAGTAGGGATGAAAAAACTTGCTTAGGAAAGATTTATGGAAAATGGGCAGGGGTAGTCATTTGAGAGTGGCCACATTCAATGTCAAGATTCTCAATTGGTACCCTGTCTGATGAAGACTGATTTGCTTTCAGACAAAAGTTAGCTCCTACAAGAACTATCAGTCTGAGCAAAGACACCAGCCTGGTACATCAATTCACTCATCAGAAAGAAGAACCAGGGAGCACCTGGGTGGCTCAGTTGGTTAAGTGTCCAACTTCAGCTCAGGTCATGATCTCATCAGGCTCTGTGCTGTCAACTCAGAGCCTGGAGCCTGCTTCAGATTCTCTGTCTCCCTCTCCCTCTGCCCCTCCCTCCCTCACACTCTGTCTCTCTCTGTCTCTGAAAAATGAATAAACCTTAAAAATGTTTTTAAAAAGAAGAATCAGTAACTTCAAAAATCATGCACCATCAGCACATGGTGTATTGAACATAATTCTCTTGCTATGGGTAATGTCCTGACATTTATAAAGCAATATGTTGACTATTCATCCAAATTAAACTTTAAATTCAACCAACATCATATCTGTCACTTTATAGCCAATTTTGAGATCTTGTACATATTTATGTGTGTTGTTTGGGATTTTAGATCTTTGGATACTTCTCCTCTGAAGAAGATACTCTTGCTTCCCAGATGGATGAAGACAATATGATTTTCCTTGTTTCTAGAAAACAGCGAGTTGTCATTTCAGGTGATATTTTTAATTTCCTTTCCAAATCAATATGGGTTTTAATATTTTCTCAAAAATAAATATTGGGACTAAAATAGAAATTGTACTTGTGGCTAGGTTTGAAATAGGACCATTGCTTTGAAGGACCCTAAATAAGAAATGTTGAGGGGGAGATAATTCACATTTTTCTGGAAAGGTTCAGATCTCAAGTGCAAGCTCTGTACAATGGCACCTCAATACTGCATGTCCAGGCACCAGATGGAATTACATTTCCTTTAAAATTTTCTTAAAATGAAAATTTTGACTTTTTTAGTAATTAGAGCTCCTTCCTACACTTCCCTTGATTATCACAAGGAAGTTTAACCCTATGTCTCTAAAACTGTGAACTTGGGCCAATCACAGAGGAGGATTATCTCAGTTTAGAAGCTCAAGAACATACATTGTTTCTTTTTAAACTTGAACCTGGGACCCATCCCTCCCCACTGCTGACCCTTCAGGTTTTCTTTCCTCCCTTCCCTCTGGGGAGGAAGAAGCCCATGAGGAGGAAAGGCAAACCCCAGAATCTGCCCCTCTCCTCCATTTCATCCTAGATATTCTGAGATGGAGCATGTAATCTAGGTCGAATCTGGTGTCCCTTTGAAAAGCACCTGAACTCACGGAAGTCACTTGAACCAAGCCTTCTAACCTTCCTCAGTCCAACCATTAGACTTCACCGGAGCCCAGCCTCAAGCCATGGAAACGATCATCAGAGGACAGAAGCCTGGTGGCTGTCCCTGCTATGTATATGTGGTTTTATCGATTCAGTACATAGGCAAAGAAACACGAAACTGTCCAATGATGTTTTCAAAACACACAGTAAAAACAAAAAGAAAAACTCTTAATGATACCAAGGTGGTTTCATTCTTTTCTGCTAGAAAGCCTGAGATCATATTGATCTTTTATTCTGTGTAAACCGTGAGGTGACAGTTAAAAGATAGGATTCCTGGGAGATGTGGAAATCTGAAAATGGAATGATTCCCAAAAATGTTTGGAAAACACGTTCTCTGTAAAATGCACCTTCTCAGTAAAATATGTGCCAGGGGTATGAATATAAACACATTTTCTCTGGGAATCCAGGCACCACATTGAGTTGGAAAGTGTTATAGGTTCAGGTTAGTATCTCTGGGGATAATTAAAAAGTAACACTTGCTGGTTTTTATGGTTTTATTCTAGTTTACTTTTTCAGGAACAAAGTAAGAAAAAAGTTGCTTTACTCTTTGTCTTAAAAACAAACCTAACAAATGAGTTTTAGGATCTTTACTGTTGTGAGATGAAATGAATATTATGCTGTTGACAGGTAGTAGAAGACGGGATGTGATTAAATGCATCGTCAAGATCCCTCAGTTGGATTTACTAATAACAGCTTCTCAGAAAGGATTAATAACAGTCTTTAATAGCCAGGTAATCTGAAAGCTTGGATTCCTCCTTCTTCTCTCCCTTCCTTCCTTCCTTCCTTCCTTCCTTCCTTCCTTCCTTCCTTCCTTCCTTCCTTCCTCTCTTTTGTCTATGTATTATGCAAATGTATCAGGTGTGGCAGAAACCATGAACCATAATTCAGAGTCACTTCAAAAAAGTAAAGCCAGATGCCTATCTGGATTTCCAATCTCTAAAAGAGATTGCCGAGTCCTGGAGCAATTGTTGAGGGGTTTTGGTAACTGCGTCTGGTGGTGTTCCTCGGGGAGTCTTACTGAATCATGTGGCATCAGCACAATTAAAGGATGATCCTGGATAATTTCTCAGATAAACTCGGAAAAATTCACAAGCCTTGTGATTTTGTCATAACCTTAACAAGTACAGAAGGTCTCAACAAGAACCTTGGACTTGGAGTTCAAAGGTGGCTCATATTCTGGCTCCTGTGTTTTACCACCTATGCTTTTAAATGGGGACTTAATGAGCCAGCTTACATGTTTTCATGTCTCTTTCACGTTTATAAAATGAAGAGACTGGGACGGGCCCTCCCTCCTCGGGGGGCTGTGGTGAAGGTAAATGAGAAAATGAACTCAGAAGCGCTTTGTGAACAATAAAAGTCCCCTGCTGGTATAGGGCGTTATGATTATTGTCACTCAGTGCTAAATGTGTAGGTTTCTGACTTCCACTTTCCAACTAGGAGAGATTTCATTGCAACATATAATGTTACAGACTACACAGTATTTCACTGTAAAATTAACAGGAATGGTATTAAACATCAGAGCAAATAATTCCAGTTACTGGTTCATTTCCAACTAGAGACAAACTTTATATGAGTAAAATATATTTGAAAGAACCATCGCATGATAACAATTTCATGTGGTAATGGTTAGCCCGTCAGTGATCAGGGCAGCTGGGTTCTGGCCGAGAAGAAGGCTGAGGGGTCCTGGGGGAGATGTGGTGGCAGGTACCCGGTGGAGATGCGGACCTGGCTGCCCTTGCCAGCTGGGCATGTTACTATCTCCACGCCCCAGCTCCTCTCATTCAGAACCTGAGCACTTCTCTCCCACGGCAGTTGTGCTATGGAAGGGAGTTAATACATACAACGTGCTTGGTTGGGGTCACTGTAAGCACCTAGGAAGTATTGGCAATAGCAATTGTGGACAAATAGTGTGAAAACAAAAATAGATCGCCTCATATAAATATGAAAGTTCTCCTTCATCTCTTTTTCTCCCTGGTGCCTTCTCATTTTTTACCTTCATTTCCTCAAAAATAGAGCTAAGATGGTATGTAAAGAAGACTATGAGAAGGAAAATAATGATCTTTATAGCGAAATAGTTCAGGATCATGTGAAATAAGTGAGGCGGCATTTTCATATCGCCAGAGACATCACTCACACACGTGCACGCATGTGCACACACACACTCATTTGCACGTTTGTAGATGAAGACGTGCATACTCACATACATGCAGACGCATCTGTTTCTTACAAAAACCATGCAATTGGAGAGAAAAGATTGCTTAAAACCTGTTTAAGATTTAATACACCAAGAATCAACAGCATTTTGAATGTCGCATGTTTTACAAATAGAATGACACTTTTTTGTGAAAAAAATAATTGGTAAGGTAGGCCACAGGAATAGTTTATTAAAAGTTAGTCATTAATGGGGCGCCTGGGTGGCTCAGTTGGTTAAGCTTCTGACTTCGGCTCAGGTCATGATCACATGGTTTATGGGTTCAAGCCCCCCGTCAGGCTCTGTGCTGACAGCTCAGAGCCTGGAGCCTTTCTTCAGAGTCTGTATCTCCCTCTCTCTCTGACCCTCTCCTGCTCACACTTTCTCTCTCTCTCAGAAATAGAGAAAATATTTTTTAAATTAATAAAAAAGGAAGTCATTAATAATTCAAAATAACTCAGAATAGGTTGATCCATAATTTAGACTCAGTGTAAAGGAGAATAAACACAGTTAAGGATTTTCACAATGCTCTCTAGGGGGCTTGGCAATATAGACCATCATATAAAAATTCCTGCCAAAAGGCTAGTTTTTAGAAATTCAGAAGATTTATAAGGGTTATGCAACGTTTAAAGATGATAAAAGAAATTTAAACACGTGCTTTCCACTAAAGATGGAGGTACAGAAATAGAAGAGGAAAACCACAGGTATTCTGTTCTCTGCTCACCAATTTCCTGAGGGCACTTAATTTTCCCATCTGGAAAAAAGTCCCGGTTGGAAAAAGCCTCTTTGAACTCTTCAGATGAAAGACAGTCTGAGATGACAGTGACTAACAGTTTTTGTGATCTAATTTACTTTTCCCCCTTTTCAAGTCTAGTCCTTCAGGGCGGCCATTTCCTGTACTTCACCCAAGACCACATGGCCATGCAAAAGAAATCAGGTCATTAGTATACTTCACTTACCTTGGCCTTGACAGCAATTAACATGCCCTAAGGGGAAAAGAGGCTAATCAGGTTCATTACAGCTCTGCATGGACTAAGTCTACAATTCTCAACCAACACAGTATGAGACATAAGATTCCTGCCATAGATACGGCTGTAACAGAGGAAGCCCACTGAAGAGAATGTTCCTAAGCCTCTCAGTAACCTGAGAGATAACTTTCAGATGAAACTATTTCTTTTTCCCACATCAAGTTGTATTCATATTGCCCTATTTAGCATCCCTCCGGACTACTCTTGACGCTGAGGTTAGTATTATTTTGCATTCCCAGTTTTGATACCCAACGTTGCTCTGAATAACTAAAGAATGTGAGGCGGTCTGCAAACAGGGAAAAACCATCAGTACAGGGTGAGACTCCACCGGCACAGTCATCAGGCTTTAAAGACAAGCCACAGAAGCAAACACCCTGCCCGAAGTAAACAGTGAATTCTTCCACAGAGCGAGGTTTTTAGGAGAGAGGAAGAAAGGAGGAAATGTATGGATGGTAGAAATGACAAGTGAGATGAAACTGTGGAGATAATGTGTTGTTTTAAAGCAGACATTCTCTGGGGCGCCCTGGTGGCTTAGTCGGTTGAGCGTCTGACTTTCGCTCAGGTCATGATCTCGCGGTTTGTGGGTTCGAGCCTCGCGTCGGGCTCTGTGCTGACTGCCAGCTCAGAGCCTGGAGCCTGTTTCAGAGTCTGTGACTCTCTCTCTCTGACCCTCCCCTGCTCACGCTGTCTCTCTCTCTCTCTCTCCTAGAAATAAAACATTAAAAAAAAAAAATTAAAGCAGACATTCTCCATTTTAATTGTAGTGCCAACTAACTTTCATTATTCTCTTCCTTTGTTCATAGATGAAGGTCCTGACCAGCACCAATGTTACAGTAAGTATATTTTATAAACTCCCAGTGCGATCAGATTTGGGGCTGAGGGGATGGATCCTCAATAACTAATCATAAGCTCTATGCAGTGCCGAATTGGTCCTAAGAATAAGATGTTTTCATATTGTATGTCTACTGACCAGGACCAAAACTAAACCTTGGGACCCTCACCTTGCTTCCTGAAGTTAAATTTATTTCAGAGAAGAGTTTGGTGGCATTACTCCCGGGAAGCTTCCATTTAACAGGCTCACCAAACTTCTTCCAGGCGGCCTCTACTGAGGAATGTAAAACCTGGACACAGTCCAAGTTGTGAGAACAACAGAGAAATGGCCAAGGGAAATAATTGGAAAACATTGTATCGGAAACTTGAAAATAGCATTAAAAACTTCAGTACAACTTGTAATCTATTTAATCCATATCGCTGATTGGAAGAGTGACCTTGTGGTGGCTGTAAAGCTATGATGAGTTGGTTTCAGAGTCACACCATGGCTTTATGAGAGACGGGGCTATGCCCGCCTTTTCACCCTGCAAAGCGCTGAATGCCTACACAGGAGGGCGCCATGCCAACCTGGCAGAGGACCCTTTGCTTCTTAAACTAAAACCACTGTTGGAATCCTTAATGGACGTCTGGAATGTGGGCAGTGTCCGGGCACAAGTAGGCACCCCTGAGTGGAAGCTGTCATTCTGGCTTCGTCGTGTGTCTTTGCCATGACAGATCCCACCCATGCCAACTTGGTGACTTTTGGCAACAGAAGACAAACTCATTGGGTTCAACTTAGTTATTGACCAGATGACTGCTGAGGTCTTTTCTGGCTGAACATTTTAGGCATGGGGAAAGGACCAGAACTGGTTTACTTGGGGCTCTCTGTGTCCCCGTGAAAAGGCGTTCTCATGAAAGGAAAGAGTGCTCAAAGATGCCTGCTCTCCCGATGGCTCTGTGCCTCCCGGGAGCTGCAACAGGCATGAGCACATCATTCTCCAGCTGGTGGTGCTGAGAAACTTAAGTCAAGTGTGAGAGGTGAGAGCCTCTCCTCCAGATATCAAAGCAGAGATGTTGCAAGGCTCCCCTGCGAATACTAGGGCAAAGGGAGGCTTAACATGGAACTATCATAGTCTTTAGTAACCATCGCCAAGCGATAGACTAAAACGTATTATGCCCTCCTCCTTCAATTCTGTGTTTTTCTACCAGGATACCTCCTGGATCACAGGATGCGATTACCTCTCACAGCTGAAAAGAATCGTTGCCACTACAGAAAGGACCATCGTTGTCTGGGATTATAAAGCTCAAGGCAGTGGCCAGGTACCGTGCCAAGAAAAAGACTCCTAGTACTGAGGCTGTTTTTTCCATCCTGGTAGGATATGACCAATCCACTTCCTCATTGAATGTCAGTTTCCTCACACATAAAGCGAAGCAGTTTAATCAAGGTCATCATTAAACAAGTTCAGCATTAATAGTCTGTGAGTCTAATTAGAAAGGAACATTCTTTCCATTTAGTGCATATTTAATTTGGCGATGTTTGTTTTGTTTTCTTTTGTTTTTGAGAGAGGGAGAGAGGCTGGTTTCTTTCTTCTCTATACCCTTCTCTGAATTCAAGTATTAGCTTTTTGATTACGTTCGTGTTATCAGTCTCAAAGCCCTTCTTCCCAGTTCAGCTTCATTTAGTAAGAAAATTACTAAAAATGAAGTGACCAATTCTGGCAAAATATCTAGTGGGTCAGATGTCAATGTTATCCCTTCAGTGGGCTGAAATGTTACCACTTAAGCAATTTACAATATTTATTGAGCATTTGCAGACATATAAAAGTAATGAACACATTCCCTGCACTCAAACAAAACTCAGTCTTGAAGGATCTCATGAAAAAAAACATAATATATGGGGCGCCTGGGTGGCTCAGTCGGCTGAGCGGTCGACTTTGGCTCAGGTCATGATCTCACAGTTCATGGGTTCAAGCCCTGCGTCGGGCTCTGTGCTGACAGCTCAGAGCCTAGAGCCTGTTTCTGATTCTGTGTCTCCCTCTCTCTCTGACCCTCCCCTGCTCATGCTCTCTCTCTCTCTCTCTCTCTGAAACAAATAAAAGATTACAAATTTTAAAAAAAAAGAAAAAACATAATATATAATAGAATGGTGCAACAAATTATGCAGTAAAACCAAAACAAACAGACAAACAAAAAACAAGGGCAACAGGAGCTTGAGGAGAGGCAAGATTGTAGAAAATGCCCTCAGCAAGCAGGCTGACTTGGAAGGATGAGGAAGATTAAGAAATAATTAGCCTTCCTCTGTGCCTTACTTGCCCCTAGGCTCAGGAAAACTAAGCTTCTCATTCTTGTCCTTATAACCAGCTAGTGATGCCAGCATGACCTTAAAGAAGGCAGGTGGTTACTCCTTGTACTTTATTATGTGACGTGTTAAATCTCATGTTCTGCAGTTTGACTGCAATGTCTCCTCTGTCCAGTTTTTCCACCCCATACAAGCTTCCAGATCCTTAAGAGCATCTTCTTCCATTCTCTGTCCCCTTGCCTCCTTCTCTGCCTTCTTGTCTACAGCACCTGGGTGGATCATCTGGGCCAAGCCATCCCCACCCTCCATTCTCTTAAATCCTTTGAAACTCTAGTCCTGATTAGATGTGACAGCCTTTCTCTGCTCCTTCACGGTGGCTGAGCCTTCCTGGAGAAAAACATGAAGTCACACTGCTTGGCATCACTCAGTTTCAGGGTCTGCAGACTCATCTGCAGACTCACTGGCTTCTGTCAACCTCTTTCTCGTCCTTGCCAAATCATTTTGCCATCCCTGGCAATATTCCAAAAGCCCATTATTGTCCGCCAGCACTCTCCCTTTCAGCAGATGGACTTGCTCCTATTTTCCTGAGGAATCTGAGTCTCCGAGGCTAGCTCTCCTACCTACAGCTTTAATGAGGACACTCTACTACCTTTCTTTCTTCTTTCCTCCTTCTGGAGGCAAATATCCCATCCCCTCCTCCCTCATCCAAGACAAGGTTCTATGCTTTCTATCTTTTTGACATTCGATTCTTCTTCGAACCATTCCTTTCAACCATCTCTGAATCTTTCAAGCAGTTCATGTCTCAGATCAAAGGTCAGCTTCCCCAACCATGAAACCTACAGTGGCGTCCCCAGTCGCTGTCACAGCACCCTGCTTTATGTCCTCAGTGCACTGCCCATGATCTGAAATTATCTTCTTTATACCTGTGTTCTTGTACTAGAACGGTAGCTCCGCAGAGTCAGAAACTTGTCTTGTCCATTACCATACGGCCAATGCCTAGAATAGTTCTTGGCACCTTGTAGATGCTCAATAACTATTCGTTGAATGACTGAACGAAGCTCTAAATATGTTCAAGTCTCAAGCATTCTAAATGAAACAAAACAAAACAAAACAAAACGTTGTAATAGTTTTTTTTTTCCCTTCTGTCTTAGGTAGAGACTGAATTCTGAGAGAGCACTGGCCATATGGCCTAGTGAACCCAATCCAATAGCCTAGAGTCAGCTTGACACATGCTTGCTGATTATTTCTGGAGAAACTTGGATGTTAGGATATGTTTTTCCTGATAACTCCTTGTAAAATAATTGGGGTGCTAATACTTGATTTTCCTGTTTACCATCCAGTTTTATATCAATAGTCTTGTAACACCTAAACCTTTTTATTTCGCCATTAATATTGCCTTACAAATCCAAGAGAGGGACAGGCCAGTAACACCACAGAAAATCTCATTATGTACTGAGCCAGAGGTGCCTCACCTTTTCCCCACAAAGCCCCCCAAAAGCACAATGTTGGGCTTATGGTGAAGGGTCATTAGCTTTTACTTGGTTAACTTTTTTTTCTTCAAGTTTCTTCAACACTGTGGGAGTATCTAACATGAGAAACATCAGAAAGTAAAACTCGTATCAAAGAATAGGGTAATATTTACTATGTGGGTAGGAGGGCAATGTAATAACTTATTAAAAGCATTCTTCTGTTCTCAGGAAAACTATTTTGTCATAAGGCCCATGGATCACTGCCTCCTTTGTGTGTGCGTGGTGTCTCTGCCCGACCAGGTCTGCCGGGATGACATCCTCCTGGGGGATGACGGTGGATTCATAAACAAATTCACAGTAAATAGTGAGGACTTTGGACTGAAGCAAGCAAAATCCAAAAAAAAATTACAAAACCAAGTCTTAGACTCCAAAAACTTTAAAAGGTAAGGGTAGTTCACAGGCCGCTCCATTGTTTCAATATAGAGCATGTTCAAGTATTTATATAGTGAGTACAATGTGCCAGATCCTGTGGAAGAGATCTGAAATGCAAAGCTGAACAAGAAATGCCTCTTGAACTTGCAAAGAACTCAGAGAACTTGCAGTGTATTTGGGAAGAGAGACAAGAAAATTAGCCAGTGAAATTTCAACTGACAATAAAATCTATAGGTACTTGAATAAACGAAAGAGTTAAGTGAAAAAATTAAATCATGAAAAAACTATAAAAGATATATATGGCTGTTTACTAGCACTTGAATGAAGAAGAGTATAAACATAAAATCAGTGAATGTAGAATTCAAGAAAATATTGGATACATTTGACAAAAACAAAATTTCTGGACATCAACAGATAACATTTGAAAAGTAAATAACAAGCTGGAATGAATGTTTATAATAAATATGGCAAGTAATGGGCTAATAGTCTTTAATAGATGTTTGAGTTTTATTTAAAAAAAACAATAATTCCCTGAGAAAACTGGACAAAGACTATGACCGAATAATTCACACACAGGCACTCACAGTACAAATAGTGAATAAATATTTCAAAATGATCATCAGGCAAAAATACTAATGATTAGGTCCAAGTGATGAAATTATAGGTGATTTTTATTGTCTTTATAATTGTGCTGTCTTTGAAGTTTTTAAAGTATTTATTACTTTCGTTAGCAGAGAAACAAACTTTGTATTAAATATATCCTTTCTCTTAATCAAAAAAGTACAACATAAAATACAATTTCCCATTTATAAAATTGGAAGAGATTAAAAATGGGGGAGCTTCTGTGGATGGGCATTCTCACTCAATATTGGTGTCAGAAGTATGAGCCAGATTCCCTTTCTGGAGAGCAATTTGAGCAGATGCATCAAGTGTCTGCATAAACCTTAACACATTAGGACCCAGGATCTCCATATGTTTAAAAATAAAAGTATGGTAATCTCAGCATTATTCCTAATAGTAAAGTATCTATGTCCAGCAATGGAGAAATTATTAATTTAAATGATTAATCATTTAAATAAATAATTTAATACTGTATGAATGTATAATATACTGTAATGTAGTTTCTACAAGTATGCATTTACAGACTTTACAAATATGTCTATATAAATATAGTACATTTGTATGTAAAATATATTTTTCATCAGACTCCCATTTTTTGTCAGATATTGAAAGTATCAAGCGCATTCAGTAAATCATAGTATAATCATCTTAGGGAATGTCATGCACTCCCATTAAATAATGTTTTGAAAAATATTTACTAACATGGAAAATGTAAAGGATATAATATTAAGTTAAAAAATTTTCTATGTACATATGAATTTCTATGTACATATTAATTCAGTTTTATTTAAAAAACACATAGATGTGTTGTCTAGGTCTATATATTTTTACTGAGGAAAATATTGAGTGTAAATACCCTGTACACTAAAAAGGATTCACTATGAGACTTTGAAGAGGTGATTTTTATTTTCTTCTGTATGCTTTTCTACTTTCTAAATTATATAATGAAGATTTTTCTTTTCTTTTTTTTTTTTTTGAGAGAGAGAGGGCACAAGTTAGTGAGGGGCAGAGAGGGGTGGGGAGAGAGAGAGAGAAAAGTGGGGCTCACCTGAAGCGGGGCTCAAGCTCACCCTATGTGGGACTCGAACTCAGGACCCATAAGATCATAACCTGAGTCAAAGTCAGCTGCTTAATGACTGAGCCACCCAGGTGCCCAAAATTTTTCTTTTAGAATAAGAAAAAAAAACTTTTAAAAATACAGCATTATACTTTGTTGTTAGTGTAACAAATATTTTATCCCAGAGTTAGAATACGCAGTTTAAATCTCCAGCTATTACTACAATTAGCCAATTGCTGGAATCCTGATAATGACACAATAATTAACTATCGTGCTCCATTTTCCATCCTTCATATTACTTAGATCCACCAAAGTATTAGACTCTGATGGGGAATTCCTCATATGTGATGTGCTGCTGTATACACTATCCAAGCATTTCATTCCAATTATGATAGGTTCTTGGAATAGAAGCTGAGACATTAATTTTCTCTTTCTCTGAGATGTGTGTCACCTGTCAGAAAATTACATGGCCTCTTTTACGTTCCTGTTTTCATTAGCTGGCTATGTTGGAAATTTGAGGAATTTGGGTACAGTTAAATAAATGCTAATTCACATTGGTTTTGGGGTGACTAAAGACTGACATGTATAGATAGGCTGAGTGTTGAAGCATATTCTTACACCAAACAGATGCAACAGAATGAAAAGTATTAAGGCCAAAGGGGTAATTAAATTCTGGAGCCATCATAATGTTTTCCTACAGTTGATATCCACATAATACACTCATATTAAATGGGTGGTGGTGGGTGTGTGTGTGGGTAGGAAATAGTGGTATGAAAAATGTTATGCAAATTAAAGAAGGAAGTAGCCATAACCTAGAGTCCAAAATTAAACACAATCTGGTATGGAAAAAAGACATCTCTCTATTCTGTTTAACCCCATATTGTCAAACATCCCTGCCTTGAGTTATAAACACATCTATTCTTCAACTAGAATCTAAGGAGCTTGAGAACAAGGATTTTCCCTTAGTCACCCTTATGTCCTTTTAACTGGGAATCAGTAAGTCCTCGATAAGTGTTTGTGAATGAGGAAACAAAGGCACTGTAAAATTTGAGTAACTATAACACCATGAAGATGGTGTCTTCCAGGTTGTGGTAAGAATGTTGTCATACAAATTTTGGCCCGTAATGCTAAGCTTCTCACTGAAGTGACCTGTGAACTGGTGAGGAAGACTTTGGCAAAGCTATCCCAGCCTCGGCTTTACCAGGGACCCAGGACTCCAAATTTCTCAGTTTTCCAGTTCTGAAAGTATTCATGGAAAATATGGAAGTGCATTGATTCACCTAAAGCAATATGCAACACAGTCCTTTTGGATGACCAGAATTTATCAGTAAAGTAAGGATAATAGCACCCCTATTAGACAAGGATTTTTCTAGATTATTCCTTTAATTCTGAATCTACAGCTCAAAATTTGATGATAAACTTTTATTTTTCCTTTAAATATGCCATAAGATAAAAATTTAAACAGTCGAAAGTGGTAGAGTGCATAGGATGGCTTTATACTTTCAGGCTTTATCACAGTTCTGAGTTTTGACTTGGTTAAAATCAAAATGAAATGCTGAATAGAAACTCAACATGATGTCTCTGTGTGTCTAACATAACCCTTCCTTTTTTTCTTTTAATGCCCAGTGTTAAAAGGAAGTTGCATAATGACTGGGTTATGAAAATTAGATACATCACAGCCCTAAGTTGCTTTGGATCCTGCTCCTTAGATGGCGTTCATTCACTGGTTTTGGAATCCTTGAAGAGACTCGAGGATAATTTGTAAGTACAATAGTTTGTACACATGCTCATTCTGTGACTTTCAGACCTTTCACGAGGAATAAGCCCATGACAGCCGTGGAGCTTTCAAACTGGTTCTTAGAAAAATCGGATCTTAACGATTCCATTTGTTTGACAAGATTAGATTTTTAAGAGGAAATTGAAGTCACTCATGCAAACCTAAGTCTTTCTAACAGCGATTTGGCTCATGTGTTGTGTTTATTGCCACAGTGCATCGGAATAAGTCAATACAGGTGTATCTGTATTTTCCAAATATAGTTTGGTAGGTGAAAGTTTATACTTTGAAAATCATTCTTACAGGTCAATTGGCTAGACTGTGAATGTCTATAGCACAAATATCATGTTCCATGTGTAATAAATACACAAAATGGCTTTCTTATAGACAGGTCAGTTTGAATAGTATGTAGTTTTATTTTTTATCTCACTAAATATTCATTAATAACTATTAATATGTAATAGCATAGTATAAATATATAGTGCCTATGTGGTTTTTTTTACATTTATTTATTTATTTTGAGAGAGAGAGTGTGGATGCAAATGGGGGAGAGGCAGAGATAGAGGAAGGGAGAGAGAATCCCAAGCAGGCTCCACACTGTCAGCGAGGAGCCTGACCCAGGGATTGATCTCATGAACCATGAGGTCATGACCTGAGCCAAAATCAAGAGTCATACACTGAACCAACTGAGCCACCCAGGTGCCCCACTATAGTACTATGTGTTAATAATTACATTAATATATGGTAACAGTAAAAAAGACACTATAGTTTATTTTCAGTTTTAAAAATGCATTAAAGGGGCGCCTTGGTGGGTCAGTAGGCTAAGCATCCAACCTTGACTCAGGTCATGATCTCACGGTTCGTGGGTTCAGGCCCCGCATTGGGTTCTATGCTGACAGCTAGCTCAGAGCCTGGAGCCTGTTTCAGGTCCTGTAATTTCCTCTCTCTCTGATCCTCCCCTGTTCATGCTGTCTCTCTCTCTCTCTCAGAAATATATAAAAATAAAAATAAATGCATTAAATTGTATGCTACAACACAGATACACCTCAAAAACATTATGCTGATAGAAGCTAGACACAAAAGACTGCATATTGAATGATTCCATTTATATCAAATGTCCAGAAAAGGCAAATTTATAGAGACAAAAAGCAGATCAGTGGATGCCAGGAAGTGGTGGTGAGAGCAGGGATCACAAGTGGCCAAAGGGATCTTTTTGGAGTATTGAAAATGTTCTAACACTTATTGTGGTGATTGTTACACAGCTGTATAAATTTACTAAAAATAATTGAATGGTACCCTTACACAGGGGTGAATTTTATGTTATATAAGGTATACCTCAGCAAAACTGTCTTTAAAAACTCATAAAGACTTCTAGTTTCTAGTCTGGCACATAAAAAGTTTGGAAGTCATCACTCAGTCCTAACAACAGGTAAAATAAATAAATGGATGGATGGTTAGATAGATGATTGATTGATTGATTGATTGATAGACCAACCATCCAACCAACCAAAAAAAAAATCAACAACTCTTCTTAAATCCATGAAAGAAATAAAGTCACAGATCAAACAGCTGCCCCCAAATTTAGAGAGACAGACAGGTATGTACTAAGAATCACAACTCACCAAAGCAGAAATCTACAAGCAGATACCTTCGGGAAACCAACATACTGTGAAAGGAAAACATAAATCGCTGGGGGCTCAACATAGTCAAATCTGAGAATTAAAAATTCCAGGGACCCAGTTATAGGGTTCCAATACTTTTGTGCATTTTATCTCCAGGACCAGTTTCTCACAGTGAATATTGGACAAAAATCCTCTCCTGCTTCTGACGGGGAAGAGGAAAATGCAACACATTCTATTCTTTTTAACAAAGTCTCCCCTCCAACGAAACTATCTTACCATAGCCTAAACTATTGAGGTTCAATCTGAGAAACTAAATGACGTGGGAGAAGGGAAATATCCACCTCTGGCCTACTCTAGCTTTCCACAAAGGAGAAGGGAAATACCCAAACCTAGCCTAGTCCAGCCATCCTGGCCCACCTAAGGGGGAGGAGAGCTGCAAAACATTTGAACTCTGCAGTTCAGAGAACAGTCTCACTAAACGACTGAAATCTAATCAAAGGACTGTAAACCACTTCCCTTTCACCCCACCCACCTTATAATCACATTACTAAGAGGCTACTTGCAGCAGTTCCTTTTTTTACACAATGCATTCAGTCCTACTATAAAAAAAAAAATTACAAGGCATATTAAAATGCAAAACACAGTTTGAAGAGAGAGAGCAAGCATCAAACCAAACTCAGATATAGCTCAGATGTTGGAATCTGCAGACCAGAAATGTAAAATAACTATGAATCATATGTTAAGGGCTCCCATGGATAAAGTGGACACCACACACAAAAAAAATTTGGTCATGTAAACAGAGAAGTAAAAATTTCAATAAAGAATCAAAAAGAAATGCTGGAGATCAAAAACACTATAACAGAAATAAAAATGGATCTTTGGAACAAGAGTCGACTGACTACTTGAGGAAAGAATCTCTGAACTTGAGAATATGTCAACAGACATTTGAAAATGATAAAGCAAGGGGCTTCTGGGTGGCTCAGTCAGTTAAGTGTACAACCTCAGATCAGGTCACGATCTCACAGTTCACAAGTTTGAGCCCTGCATTGGGCTCTGGGCTGACAGCTCAGAGCCTGGAGCCTGCTTCTGATTCCGTGTCTCCCTCTCTCTGCTTCTTCCCCACTCGCATGCTCTCTCTCCCTCTCTCTTTCTCTCTCTCTCTCAAATATAAATAAAAACATTTTTTAAAATGTAAAAATGGTAAAACAAGGATGGGGCGCCTGGGTGGCTTAGTCGGTTGAGCGTCCGACTTTGGCTTGGGTCATGATCTCGCGGTTCGTGGGTTCGAGCCCCGCGTCGGGCTCTGTGCTGACTGCCAGCTCAGAGCCTGGAGCCTGTTTCAGTCTGTGACTCCCTCTCTCTCTGACCCTCCCCTGCTCACACTGTCTCTCTCTCTCCTAGAAATAAATAAAAATATTAAAAAAAAAAAAAACAAGGATAAAAAACACTGGAAAAAAAGGAATAGAATATCCAAGAACTGTAGAACGCCTACAAGAGTTATAGCATATGCATAATAGGATTTCCAGGGGAATGAAGAGAAAAAGGAAGAGAGGAAATATTTGAAGCAATAATGACTGAAAATCTCCCCAATGTAATGTCATATACTGAACCACATATCTAATAAGCTCAGAGAACACCAAGCAGGATAAATGCCCCCCCCCCAAAAAAAAACACTTAGGCATATCATATTCAAACTCTAGAAAATCAAAGATAAAGAAAAATTTTTGAAAGAAATCAGATGGAAAAAAGCACCTCACCTTTAGAGGAGGAATGATAAGACTTACATCCAACTTCTCCTCAAAGGCCATGCAAAAAAGATGAAAGTGCAGTGAAATACTTGAAGTGTTGAGATGAAAAATATACCAACCAGAATTCTTTTTTACTGCTAAATTATCCTCTCAAAGTGGAAGATAAATAAAAACATTTTCAGATAAACAAAAATTGAGCGAATTTGTTGCCAGTGAACCTGACTTGCAAGAGATGTAAAATGAAGTTTGTCAGAGATGAGAAAAATAATGTAGGTAAGAAATCAAGATCTATGTAAAGAAAGGAAAAGTATTACAGAAGGAATAAGTGAAGGTAAAAATAAAGTAACATTTGTTTTCTTACTCTTAATTAATATAACAGATAACAGTTTTTTCACAATAATAGCAACACTGTATTGAGATATATATCGATATATATGATCAAGGTATATATAACAGCACTTAGACAGAAATTTATAGCATTAGATACATATGTTAGAAAAAAAAAAAAAAGAAAGATCTAAAACCAATACTCTAAGTTTCCACCTTAGGAAGCTAGGCAAAAAGAGAAACCGTCCAAAGAAAGCAGAGAAAAAAAAAATGACAACAGAAATCAATAAAATTAAAAACAGGAAATCAATAGAGAAAATCAATAAAACCAAAACCTGGTTTTTTGAAAAGATCAATAAAATCGATAAGCCTCTAGCCAGGAGAATTAAGAAAAAAGAGAAGACACAAATTGCTACTATCAGAAATAAAGAAAGTAACATCACTACAGACCCTATAGACATTAAAAAGATAAAGGAATATTATGACCAACTCTATGCCCACAAATTTGATAATCTAGATAAAAATGAACCAATTCCTTGAAAGATATAATCCGTCAAAACTCACACCAGAAGATAAATAATCTGAATGGGCCTATAATTTGTTAATGAAATTGAATTAATAATAAATAACCTTCTAAAAGGAAAAGCGTCAGGCCAATGTGGGTTTAACGGCGAATTCTACCACACATTTAAGGAAGAAATTATGCCAATTCTCTACAATCTTCTCCAGATAATAGAAGCAGAAGAATACTTTCAAACTTGCTCAGTGAGGCCCATAGTACCCTAGTACCCAAACCAGATACAGGCATTACAAAGGAAACTACAGACCAGTGTCTCTTAGGAGTATAGATGCAAAAATCCTTGACAAAATATTAGCAAATTGAATTTAATGAGATATAAAAAGAAGTATACACCATGACCAGGTATGCAAGGCTGTTTCAACATTTGAAAAGTATTTAATATAATCCATCGTATCAACAGATTAAGAAGAAAAATTAATTATCACATAAATAGATGCAAAAAAGCATTTGACAAAATTTATCTATTCATGTAAAAACTCTAAATCAAGACACAGATCTTGTATTTTTCACATACACACACACACACTCACCTCAAAAGGGACCAAAGATATAAATATAAAACCCAAAACTTTAAAACTCCTAGAAGAAAATCTAAATAATCTTAGGTTTAGCTATGGCTTTGTAGATTCAACACCAAAGACATAATCCATAAAAAGAATGCTCGATAAGCTGGACTTCATTTTAAAATTAAAAACTCTGCTCTTCAAAGG